CCCCCCCCCCCCCCCCCCCCCCCCCCCCCCCCCCCCCCCCCCCCCCCCCCCCCCCCCAGCCCGCCAATGCTTGGGCACACACCACACCCTCCTGGGCATTGGTGGTGGCCTGGCGTGATGCGGAATTCACTCCGACGCCGCACACAGCATCACCACCACCTGCCCCCTTGGGCGAGCCCCCGGCAGCATCGTAGCATCGCAACTTCCCCCCCAACACTTTGACTCAACCATGGCCAAAAAAACAGACGTCACTGCTCGCCTCTGAACCGCCAGCTCAACCACTCACACACTCCCTCTCTGACTCTCTGACTCTGACTCTCAACCTCGCCGCTTCCACGGTACTTTTGAAGAATGTCGGCGTCGACGCAGCCTCCTTCACCTCAACCACCTGCCTCTTGTTCGGTCATGACATGGCCTCGCATGCCCTCGCCCACTTTTCAGAGAGGGTCCAATACCGCTGGCCGTCGTATCCGACTCGCCAAACAAGACGTCTCCGAGCACGTCGTGGTGGTGCCCTCGGTACCCCGCTGCGCCATGATTCGCCCGCCGTGCTCGTAAAGCGCATCATGGCCCTCACAACGTTCTTGACAAACAACGCCTGTACAGCAGCTGCGCGCATGTCTGCATCCAAGAACGGCACCCAGAACGGCCGAAGAATGACCGACGTTGGAGCTTGCAGATCGTCTGCTGGTCAGCTTGGTCGACGCCCTTCTAGCTGCCCTGATCCCTGCCATGACCTGCTGCCTTGGCTGCAAGCCTCTCTTCCTCTCCCTCCCTCCCTCTCTCTCTCGCGCACTCGCTCGCTCGCTCGCCCGCCCGCTCGCCCGCCCGCCTGGCCCCTCCTGGCCCCTCTGGCTCTGGCTCTGGCTCTGGCTCTGGCCGGCCTGCTCGCTCGTGCTCGCACACACACAGCGTTCATGCACCCCCAAGTGCGTACGTGCCCTCGCCATGCCTCCAATGCCCATTTTCCTGTTGCTGTCTCATGCGCCCGCCGAGCCTCCCTGTCGCGCCAATTTTGCGCAAAACGTCGTCATGCTCGACGTCCAGTCGCATGCAAAACACCCATAGCGGAGGGGCCGCCTGACTGCTCGACCGCGCCTCTACCCCATCTTCGCGCGACTGCAATGTTCCAACGTCGCGTGTGACCCTGGAATATCCCCGTTTGAGGCTTGCGCAAGAGCTTCCGAAGGCCTATCCCCGGCTCCCGATGCCTTGGAATACGTCGTCACCCCGCCGTCGAAAATCAATAAAGCTTGTTGTATTTTAGTCTACACATTTCGCGACATGAAACGGATCTCAGCTTGCCACGCCGATTCGCCCGACTGCGTAGCGCGAACCTAGCTCCAGGGTTGCAGTCGTTTGGGTCGAGCTAGACGAGCCAGGCGCGTCTTTGAACCTCGACGCAGCAATACCCGGTGACCTGTCACCCAACCGCCCCCAGCTGCTGCACCCTCGGACAAGTGCGCATTCCATTGCACGCTGCACCCTAAGCCTGTGGTCTGGTTGACACGCGTCATCTCTCCTGCATCCAATGCGATTCCGACCGTCTTTGTTTCGCAACTGGCCCCAGCAATTTCTAGACTTTTGCAACCTGTGGTTCGTCATGGTCATCCACGGCCTCGAATCTGCTGATCTCCTGTGCACGTCAATGGTTTCCAAGCACCAAAACACTTGCTGCGTGCATCTCGACGTCGTCTCGCCATCCGGCCTTGCCGAACGCCCTCGTCTCAACAATTCCATCTCTCACGCATAACCGCACCAAGGGGGTGATACTTTGGTACAAGAATGCATACACGCTACCGTCGTTAGTCATGGAGCAGTCGTTGTCAACCGGAGTATGGTCCGCTAGTGACTGCGCCACACGTAAAAGACGCCTCTGGAAATACCACACAGCCCATGTCTACGGCCGGCTATAACTGCTGCCGCACTCGTATCCAGCAAGCCACAGTATCAGGTCTACTACAGTCATGTTTTTGCTGGTGCTTTTGCTTGAGGAACTGGTGGGGAGTGCAGACCATGGCCAGATAGTGGTTGATCCTGAGCTGGGCATGCGTATGATCTGCTGCAGGCTGACAATGAGACCGATCCCGCTACTGCACGACATCGAATCCAGGCCAATCCGTGTCCCTATGCGCGTACCACATGTACATGTGCGTTTCTCACGACCCAGCTTTCCGTGTAGCAGGACAACATTGACGTCGGATTGTCAACACGTCCCCCCCCCCTTCCCCTCCCAAAGTCAGGCTGTACTCTCCTATGCTGTTGACAGGACGGATTCCCTCGTTCCCGTGCACGCGGACCTCCCGCTCCATGGATGTACCATAGCGTCTGTTGCGCCATCTCAGCGATCGCCATCCGATCGCCAGCCATCCCCAGCTATTGATCGTGTCTCCGGCATGCCTCCGAGTATCGTTAGTCTACACTTTATCTCGACTCCGCTCGGGGAGTCGCTTATGCCTGATGCCTGTCGTGTTTGCGTACTGGTAAATGGGCAAAAAAAAATGGCTCACCTCATCATGTGAGTGTCGTCTACGCTAGCCAGCCCGTGATTATGCGGGTCCAAAGTCCCCCATACTACCTATAGGGTTTTATTGCACAGGTTTCAACTGCTACATCCTGTCTTGGAAAGGAGTGTAATCCTAGGTAATGTGACTCACCGACATCTTAATCTTAGTCTCTTTGTTGGCGGTGAACAACTAAGGGTTTTAGGTTCAATGTCAGTACAGGGGTACAATACGCGCCTTTGATTGCCCATCTGCAACCCCCTTATCCTAATTTCCACCGTGTCAAGCGTGGCCTTGTCTTGTCGTACTAGAATCGACTATGCGGGAAGTAGCCGTCAATACAGACTATGCGGTTTAAAATCATGATCATCACCAGTGAAACGCCATACCCCCTTTCATCTGCAACCCCCCCACCCCCACCACCTCTTTGTTCTGCAAGAGACGAAATCTTTCCCAGGAGCAAAGTATGATAACAATGATTTGACATTTCTAGTCGCAGAATACGAGTTTGTGGTTTCAAAATATTTCAACCTTTTTTTTTCTTTGAGCCGTGTCTGGTCGTCACACACACACGTACCCCCAAAGCTAACACACACACATGCGCCCCCCACCCCTTGAATCCAGTATGCTTCAGCTAGAACATGTCAAAGAAATGAGTGCCATCCTTCTACTCTATATTCGTTTATCCGAGTCATGCAGTTACAGCGTAGTAACGTGCTAATTATTTGGCATGGACCCTTTTTTTTACCATTTTCTTTTTCGCGATTCGAAATCAGATATCACTCGATGGGGAAAAAAAAAGATGTGCCCTTTTTCCTTCCCTCGAGTACAATACCTGGCCACTTTTTCAAAATCGAGTCTAGCCTTTTTGTTCTGTGTTTTTGATTCGATATCATCTATATTCGACTCAGCTGAACAGACCCCCGAACAAAGGAGATGCAAAAAAAACAAGGCCCATGGCCTGATGTACCTGCATTACCCTGGTTTTTTTGTTAACCCATTGTTTTTTTCTTTGTTCGTTTGTGTGGCAAAAGGTCGATTGTGCGGCGATACCGTCTAGCCTCCTCTTATCCAGACTTGTCTACTCTAGCCTGGTCTGGCCTGGTCTGGTCTGTTCTGGTCTGATTGCCACATGCAGAGTCTCCCGTCGCCATGTATGTGTGTAGTCAGCGTATTGCTAGTTAGATTATGTGCGGTGAATGAAATGTGAGTGAAGCAAGAGGGGTCTTTTTATTCGTGGTTGGATATACTAACTACAACTCAAAAAAAAGCTTGGTTGCTTGGTAATGTCGTATGTCATGTGTGACATGTGGAAAATTGCTATGTGCTATGTGCAAACGTGATGTAGTGTTCGTGCTGTGCATGTATTTACTTCAAGTCTCCCGCATACAAATAAAGCGTATACATATATATATGTGTGTGTGAGAGAGAGTGAGAGAGAGAGCGCGAAAGAGAAAGAAGAGACAAGACAAGACAAATTTCAAATCTCTACACATAAGTACTTGCCAATATCCACCTCACCTCGTACCCTTTTTTCCCCACCACAAAATCACTGTATTCGCACTTCTCTACACAGTAGGTACTTTCTCACATATTTTTCTAGAAGCGCTTTATTCTACGCTGATATTTACCTTGTACAACAATGACTGCTTGGTTTGGGTTAAGAAGACACATGGACGGATAAAGTTTGTACCTTACTGTCATCTTGCATCTTGCATCTTATATCTCGTATCTATGTACATAGCATCATGGACTCTACCCCCACCTCACCACCCTACAAACAAGTACTACATGAGAAGAAAAAAAACCTCCCCCCTATCTTCAACCCACTTACAGAGATCGATCTAAACACAAGACTATAAAATAAAAAAATAATTAAATAGATAGATAACACTCCACTCCAAGCATATTGGAAATAATCTGTTAAACAGATAAACCAGCTATTTTAGAACTTGTACTTGCCTAATACCATAGCTAGTAGAGAAAAAGATAAATATTCATAGTGTGTATTATCATTACAAGCTACGTATTCTATCCAAGGTACAAGATTATATATATATATATAGAATCACACTACAATCTGATGATATATCGCATACTCTACTATACTGTGAGGAAAAAAAAAGCTGCTACTGCGTTATGTAGCACTGTGAAATCACTCATACGATAGATAAGAAAAGAGATGTGAATGAATCAGAAAAGTCTAGCTGCGTGGGAATGTTGGAAATCTGTTGTTAAATTGTTTCCACAAGTCATTTTAAACCAAGTAAGAGAGAGAGAATAATACTCTTTTGTCTCTCTGCATTGATATCAAGTGAAGAGAGAAGAGAGAAGAGAGAGAAAAAAAAACATGTCTTTTGATCAAAGCAAGTCCAGGGAAGATTTGGAAGACAAATCTCAACACTCAATAACTTCAATATTGGATTCCCTAATCAGTCACGGTTATGATTAGGTCCATTTACACATACCGAAATTGAGAATCACTCTAAAGTATATCGAGAATTTGAACAAGTCAAGCTTATCAGATCAAAGAAACACGTTAAACCCGGTGATACTGCGACTACTACGATAGCCACAACATGAATGACAGACATTCCAAATCACAGCAATTACTTGTCATAGTAACAAGACTTCGAGCAAATTTCTCATACGCGAAAAACATCACTTGAAACCACCATATCATGCAGGTCAGCCTATACGTTACATGCGTAGAATGTATTCTATATAACTATTACGTGAGAAAACTTTTTTTCTGGATATAAACGCCACCAGCGCCACAATGCAAGGTGGCGAAATGACCGCTGACAATTGCTGCATACACAGCTTTGAGGAAGAAAGTAACCTATACCAGTCTAATATGCAGGCAGCTGCTCTACCAAGCCGACATCATGTCCATGCATGGAGATCACAGCCCTGTCCCTTGGGGTATCAGCGTACGACAGAGCCTGAGCAGGTACAGCGGCATTCAGCCGCACTTGGAAAAGGGATAAAACATGAGGCAAGTCCGGAATGATGACCCCAACGCCAAACAAAGATTGAAATCGATGCTCATCGTACAGACGACGTGATAAGTGGGCGTCATGGACAACGTGTCTACCAGCGGCTGTTGCGAACGGGGTCGCTGTTACCTCCAGTCCAGCCTGACATACAGATCAGAGTCGATTCGTTGTCGATGAGGTTAATGAAACCTACCACCACGGCCGCCGCGACCACCTCCACGGCCACGGCCACCTCCCCAGCGACCACCGCCGCCACCGCCGCCGCCGTAGCGAGCCATCTCGTGGAGGCGAGGGTCAATTGGCTGCTTGGACTCGGAGAGAATCTGGACGAGATCACGGGCCTGCTTGGAGTCTAGATAGTCGTCAGCGATTTGCAGCCACTCAAGGACAGGAACACACTTACTTTCTGTAGTGAAGAGGGTGATGGCAGTTCCGTTAGCGCCAGCACGACCAGTACGACCAATGCGGTGGACATAGTCCTCCGAGTTGTTCGGGTAGTCATAGTTGAGCACGTGAGTAATGTTGCGGACATCTTAAAGAGCAAAGGTTAGTGACTGATAAAAAAAAGAGAGCAAACGACGATCATGATTGGATCGCGTGAAGCTGCAGTATGTTGCATGCAACCGTCTCTGTGCGCTACGACGAAGATCACGGCATCAAGTCCAGTGGGAAGGCTGTGGATATCTCCTGGTCCAGAAACCCTTGGAAGAGACTGCGACTTAAGCAAGTCAAGTATCTCAAGCAGCTTGCTTCAGTAGTACGTCGGTAATACCAGAAACAGAAGGTAGCGAAGACAATAAGCCTCGCCAGCGTGACCAAGGATCCCTGGGGATCAGATTCGAGAGAAATGCAAGCCCTGGACGATGTCATGGAAGCGAATGTAACCAGCGCACAAGACGACCTAAGCAGAGCACAATGGCAGTTCACGCATAATAATAGTTGGGGGGGAGGTTTGGGGAGCAGGGGGAGTGGGGGGTTTGCTATCATACCGATACCACGGGAAGCCACGTCAGTAGCAACCATGATGGGGCTCTTGCCCGTCTTGAATTCGTTCAAGACCCAGTCACGCTCATTTTGTGCCTTGTCACCGTGGATGGCTGCAGTCACGTTAGCATTGCTTCGTGTAATGACGAGTGAATCAACTTACAAAGCGCCGGCCAGCCGTCCTGGCGAAGGAATCGGGTAATCTCGTCGGCAACGCGCTTGGTACCTGTGAAGATCAAGATCTTGTTGTCCTTGTCGCTCATGATGGTCTCGAGATGCTTGGCCATGCGGTCGCGCTTTTCAAACTCTGTGCAGACCTCGACAATCTGCTGAATGCGGTGGTTGGCAGAGAGATCCATGGATCCAATGTTGACCTGGATCCAGTCTTTCTGGTAGTCGGCAGCGAGTTGGCGGACTTCCTTGGGCCATGTAGCGGACCACATGCAGGTCTGACGGTCGGGCCGAATCTGTCCGATGATCTTACGGATCTGAGGCTCGAAACCCATGTCAAGCATGCGGTCAGCCTCGTCGAGAACCAGGTAGGTAACACGGCGGAGGTTAGTCTTGCCAGCCTCGAGCATGTCAATGAGACGTCCAGGAGTGGCAATGCAGACCTCGACACCGCGAGCCAGATCACGGATTTGGGGACCCTTGGGAACACCTCCGTAGACGCAAGTGTTGCGAATGCGCGAGGACTTTCCAAACTTGCTGATCTCTTGTTGAATCTGGACAGCAAGCTCACGGGTGGGGGCGAGAATGAGGACAATAGGACCGTCACCAGGAGCAAGGAGAGGCTGAGCGTTGATGTGGACAATGGCGGGCAGACAGTATGTGAGCGTCTTTCCGGAACCAGTCTCAGCGACACCAACGACGTCACGACCAGAGAGAGCCATGGGCCAGCCCTGTGCCTGAATAGCAGTGGGCTTTGCAAAACCCTGAGCCTTGACCTCGTTCATAACGTAAGATGGGAAACCAGCCTCATCGAACGTGGTGACAGGCTTAGGGATGTCCACACCCTTGACAGTCATCTGGTGCTCCTTGCGGTATTCTGCGACCTCGGCCTCCGAGCGCGCGGTGACTGCGGGATCCTCCTTGTAAAAAGATTTTTCGAACTTGGGCAGAGAGTCAAGATCTGTGCGAAAAAAAGTTAGCGTTGCGTTGCGTTGAGCACTGCCAGCCAGACGTACCCCATTGTTGCTGCTTCAAGCCTTGGCCGAGTTGCGACATGCGGTCGCCACCGTCACGACCACCATAGCCGCCACCGCCGTATCCGCCGCCGCCAGAGTAGCCGTTCGAGCCGCCACCGTAGCCGCCACTGCAAGAACGTGTTAGCAACTGTCGCTGAAACAGTATGGGTGACATAAGGGGGATTCTACACCGTGGCACCAAGTACGTGACCGCCTGCTTGACTTACAAAAAGCAAGCAAAGCAGACGCGGCCTCCGGACTCGAGCTGCGCGCAGAATCGTGACAAGGAAAGAAGCAGATGGAGGGTCCTCCAGGAAGCACGACTGTGATGCCTTTCCCGTGCAAAGGGGATGTATCGCCGTACCCGTACGATGCATAGTGGCTTGTCGAGTTGCTGTAAGACCCGTATCCAGCATTGCTGTTTTCGTACCCGTTCGAGTAGCCACGGCCGCCGCCATCGCGACCGCCGCCGTATCCTCCACCGTATCCGCCGCCGTAAGACATGATGTGCGTGTGTTTGGTAGAGACTGGCGTCAAAGGGGAGCGGTTTGGGTTTAAGAGAGCGTGTTTCGGGATCTGAGACCGCGAGGGGGGGTATTAGATGCAATAAAGCGACGGCAAAAGTGTCGCGGGGTGTGCGATAGAGGAAGCACAGATAGAAGAGGGCGAGGGTGTGTGTGAGAGGAAGTGAGAGGGCCGAACGCGCCAGGAAAAGTTGCCTTGCCTCTAGTTGCGCTTGCACATTTTTTGAGACGCTAGCCGCGCTAGGGCTAGGGTCTCGCCTCTTTGGGCAAGCGCAGACCGTGCCGTTATCAGCCCGGGGGAGTTGCGAAGAAATCCATTTCGCCACCTTTGCGCCGGACTGCGCTGGCTGCCCGCTGCTCCTTTGCATTTGCATGGCCCACGCAAAATTTCCCTCTACTCCACCCGGCCGCTGTGGCGGTGGGGCCCTTTGCCCGCGAGCGAGCCCGGACACGTAGCTGAGCGACAACACCTTGACCGCCACCGCTATCGCAACATTGACATGGACAGCGTCTTGACCCGATTGTTTAACGCACTACTGACTGCCTCTGCATGTATCGTAATGCCGCTATATATATCGACCAATGCCACGGCGGTGCGCCTCAACCCAGCGCCTGCCCAGCCCTCAGTCCCATGTCCCAGAAGCCCTTCTCCATCTGCTCTCGGTCAGCACATTGCCATACGCTCGCTTTCCCATGAATGCTTACATTGGTTGCGTGGATAAACACCTTGGCTAGTTCCTCCACTTTGCTCGGGCTCAGGCCGGCCGCGTGTTTCTCCACCAACTCGCTTCCCCTCATCATTGCACCCCTGTACTCGTCCGCCACGTACTGCTCAATCCACTTCCAGTACTTACTTCCCACCCTGACTGTGTTTGCGTCTTCATAGAGCCGCTTGGCAATGATGCCGTATCCAATCAGGCAGGGAAGGAGGGCTATTTGCAGCGCAACGAAGTCTTGTGACATGCCAATGTCAAGCACATAGCGCGTGTATGCTGTCGTAGCTTGGTCTTCCTCTTCATGGATGATGTCGGTTTCGGACAGGCCGTACTCCTTGCAGAAGTCGATGTGGAGCTGAATCTCTTCTTGCAATGTCACGACTTGCTGGACGGAGCGGCCAATGTCTTTGAGGTTGCTTGATTTGTATGCCGAGAGCGCATTTGCTCTTGCAAATTGCACCTGCAATACTATCAGCGGCGATTGCAATAGATGCGTGTCCAGCACGGATGACCCGAGAACGCACTAGGAACAGGTAGTCCTGCACAAGATAGTACATGAACTTCTCAAGCGGTAGTGTCGCATCTCCCATCTTCTGCACAAACTCGTGTTGGGTATACTCTTTCCATGGTATCTGTACATCTTCTCGGTCGAGTAGGTACGATATGAAGTTACCGGGCGCAAACGGCAAAGTGTATACCGAGTGGAAATGGTTGATTGGTCCACTTCCACTGCCAATCTGTACTGCCGTCTTGATTCCGGCTTCAATGTACCGATTGGCCTCTTTGACAGCCTTGACCATCGGCATGCCGAGAGAAAGGTTGCACGCAATTGCTGAGGCCAGCGAACACCCCGTACCGTGGGTGTTGCTCGACCGCAGGTACTCGCTTTCCATCAAAGTGACGCCGCTATCGCCAACGAGCACATTCAATACGACCTCTCGGTCCACCTCTTTACTAACAACATGACCGCGTGTCAATGGCAGATGGCCTCCTTTGAGCAACACCCATTTTGGGCCTCGCTCGTGGATGTGGCGAGCCATGGCGACAATGTCGTCGACATTTTGTGGGTCAGACACATCAACACCAGCAGCTTTCAGAAGAAGTTTTGCTTCTGGCAGGTTTGGCGTTAGAAGCGTAGTGTGAGGGAGAAGATGTTCAATGAGCGTTGCAATTGCAGCTTCGGGTAGAAGTTGAGAGCCTGATGTCGAGACCGTCACCTAGAGCAAACGCGTTCAATTAACATACTCGGTCGTGGCACGAGAACGGACATACAGGGTCAACAACACTAATCTTGATGCTGTGTCGTTTCAATGCATCGGCAACAACCGTGATTGTCTCAGCTGACGCAAGCATGCCTGCAAAACATTAGCTTCGTTTACACCCAGATATCCTCGCCTGATTTCTAGTATGAGATCTTACCAGTCTTGACAACATCCACTCCGACATCCTCACAGACAGCATCAATCTGCTTCTGCACAAATGCCGGGGGTGTGTGATGTATATCCTGCACACCTAGTGTGTTCTGTGCTGTCAATGCAGTAGTAGCGGTCATAGCATAGCAGCCATGTGCTGCAATCACCTTCTGATCAGCCTCTAGCCCGCTGTTGTTATAGGTGGATGGTTAGTTTGAGTGGCTAAAGGAAAGAGGGGGCGGATGCATGGATGCGTACGTACGCTCCACCCGAGCTGTCCGAGCCAGCGATTACCAGGATGCGCTTTGGTAACATTGCGAAGCCGTGTAAGTTGGTGCAATCAAGGGTACGTTTTGTTCACAGACTGTGTGCTTGGATGGTGAGTTTGATGTTTTCTCATTGAGCCCCGCCATGCCTGCCGATACCCCCGCGAGCCCCACGTCATCAACCCGTAGATACCTTCCATGTTGCCGGAAAGCATTGAAGCTGCAAGATCGACGCAGGGTGCTGTCGCTTATAATTACAGGCTTAGAATACATGTTAAAACTCGTGCTGCACCACAGCTGATATCACGACAGTGTACTGGACAGTGATTAGAGAGGACTTGGTTGAAGCACATGGATTAGCCAGGGTCATTACGCCATGGCTCTGAGAACATGTAAAATGTGTTTGGACGATGCCACCTTAGCTGACATATGTCAGACCTCCTGGTCGTCGAATATCTACCACAATCCCTTGATTTGTGACACGCGTTGAGTGGGCTCGAAGACTTCATTGCTCTCAACCGTGTTTGCCTTGGAGGCACTGCCGCTGTCTGTAAAGGTTGGGAAAGCCGATGCATCGTGGCTGGCACTGGCATCCCACCCAAGAGTCTCTTCTTTGTCGTAATCCATGGGAGCCCAGGCCGCATCCTCGTCTTCTGGAACGAAGAGGCTTTCGGGGTCATGACGTGGCGACTGCGCCTGTGCTGAGGTCTGACGAGAACCCAGTCGGCTTGAACCCTCGCGCCGAGATGCTGGTTGAACTGGTGGAGGCATGTCAGACTGAAAGCTGCGACTTCCTTCGGGTCCCGCTGTTGCTGCCGATGGTGCACGAGATGAGTTTCTACTATTTACTGTAGGAGGAGCCAAAGCTGGAGCTGGAGTAGGTGGCGCCGCCGTGTAATTCCCCGAAGTCATCAACGTAAACTCGCAAAATAAACCGTCGCATCCGTAGCTGAACTGTAATGGCCTGGTCGGTTGAGAGTAAAAAGCTTTCAAGCTTGTCTTGAGCGTGTCTGCATGGATGACAATCGCTTTGAAGTCTTTGACGTTGATGATGATGTGCATACCGGCTTGCACTGTAAACTGTTCAAAATCAGACGTGTTGACTGCCACGGCTGTGACGAGCGGGTGCTTCAAGATCTCTTTGCCATTGGAGATTTTTTCGGTGTAGCTCTTGAAGACACAGCGGCCGTCTTCGCCAGCAAAGATGTCGAGCATTTCGGTTTTGGTGCCAAAGTATTCAATGTACTCCTTTACTGCACTAGCGTGCATCGTCCACCGGTTTTTCGCTACCGACCGATCAAACAGCGCGTGCATGACGTCCACGGCTTCGTAGGTGAGCTTGTACGTCTTGATGACACCCTGGTTGCACACCATCTTGAAAATGAAGCGACACTGCGCCTCATTCTCTCGTTCCTGCACGCTCACTTCACAGCGGTCTATCGCGCCATCTCGTCCCATTGGATCGTGCAGACGCCCTTTGAAGACGGACAGAAGCGCTTTGGTGTACATGCTGCACGTGAAGCGACCGTCGGGTCCACCATGGCTTGGGACACACTCATAGCTGGCGAAGAACTGCCTGCCGTCCAATGTGACAGCGGCATACGCAGATTTGGAAGGGTTGAGTGCGGTGAATGTAAGCTGGGACAAGGCGTATGAGATGACCGGCCGACTGCGAGGAAGAGCGGCCAACCTACCTTTTCCCGACGTGCCTCGATGGCTACGGTGTCACTGAATTTGCCGAGGCAGACAAGAAGATCGTGGACCCTAGACGCCGCCTCTGGGGTGAGGGTGAAGTTGAGGACGACCATCTTGTGCCATAGTGGCGAGGCGGAGCGATGGCGAGGCAGCCGAAAGCGGAAAGAGCGCGTTTTGACGCGCTACAGTGCCCGTGCACCAGATGAGCACCATCGCCAGTTGAGCACCCCCACCACCACAACAACAAAACTTCAACGCGTCAAAACTCAACCAATATGGACCCGATTCAAGAAGCGATTGCAGAAATCGAATCGCGAGAACCAGGAGATAAATTCTCGTATCAAGCAATCGCGAAAAAGCATGGTGTAGCACGAATGACGTTGATGAGACGACACCGCGGCGAAACTGAGGCCTATGGCGTGCGCAACCTCTCCCTCCATCCACAACACGAGAAGGAGCTTGTACGATACATCGATACGCTTACCGAACGACGTTTGCCACCTACGAAGGAAATGATACAACGCTTTGCTTCAGATTTGGCTGGAAAGCCGGTTTCAGAAAGCTGGGTTGACCGGTTCATCCGCCGGCACCCCAACCATCTCATCTCTGCCCACAGCAAGGGGATGAGCAACTTCGTTGCAACGCCGATTCAGGAGCCAAGTAACAGCTTGTATTTCAAGCCTTCTGGTTGAAAAGATAGAGGAGTACAACGTCCAACCCCTCCCATATATTCATATGGACGAAAGGGGGTT